GCAGCGTCTCCAATTCATTTCGACCCTTCCAGGCGGGTGGCCGATCCTGGATACTGGGAGGGAGATACTCCAACAGTCCCACGGGTATATACCGGTGCGTAAAACATAAGTACTCAAGCAAGAATCGCCGCGTGTTGCCAATACCATACTCATCGGAGCCCCATGCTTCAAGTCCATATTTCGCGAACTTCTCCACGAGCGCGAGCCGCTCTGTCGCTGACTTGTCGAGATACTGGCCCTTCTTGATCTCTTCGAAAATCCAAGGCTTCATCAGAGCGCCACGCGCAATCATGACCGTGTCAACGCCCGAATTCCGAATCCCGTTGAAATAATCTTCGTGGGAGTAGCAGTCACCGTTTCCGAGGAAGAATACTTTACCCGCAGATGACTGGTATCGCGCGTCGGCTTCTTTGGCGGTATCTGTTCCGCTATTGATTTGCTCGTTGAGTCGTTTGACTAGTGCTGCGCACTGGCCGATATACCCCCAGTCCGCCTGGCGTGAGTATCTCTGCTGGCGACTGCGTCCATGCAGAGTGATTGCAGCAACGCCCGCGGGTCCCCGTCCGATTTCGTGAGATTCGACGCCACCCAGGACCAGCCTCTCAATCAATTTCGTAGCGTTAGGATTTGAATCTTTAGTACCCATTCGGATTTTCGCCGTAATGGGGATCTCCCCGGATACGGCGTTCATACCCCGTAATATTTTCTCTAATTTCGAGGCATGGTCGAGAAGAGCCGATCCGGAACCTTCTCTGAAAACCATATCGATCGGACATCCGCAGTTCATGTCGATGACACGGAGCTGTGGACACAATGCCGTCAGCGCCTCAGTGGCTTTCAAAGCCACCCACGGTTTGTTTCCTGTGATCTGAGCTCCAAACTTAAGGTCACGAGAATTGTCGTAGTCTTTCACTATAGTCTGGTTTGGATTGACGGTTGGAGGTAACGTCTCGGATTCATGCGCTTTCATGAGTGCCCACTCGGATTTTGAGCCCTGCACTAAGTTCATGCTCATGGCCATTTCAGAGTAGGTGAGTTGGGCGCCCAGGTCAACGCAGAGGCGTCTGAAGGGTAGATTCCCTTGGGTTGTGAGCGGGGCCAGGACAGGGGTTTCCGGGCCAAAGTAAACTCGTCTCTTTTCCGAAGGGAGAAACGGAGGTTCCGTATATCGTGCCCTGTTGTCTTCCTTCTCATCTCTTAGATCGGAAGCATCCTGGCCATTTGGCTTTTCAGGCTCTGGAGCTGCTTCATCCTGATTTCGCCCGTGCAGGTTCTTTTCAACTTCTTTGGAGACCTTATCAAGCCAAGTAGTAAAGGAATCAGCCTTGGGGGTTTTGTATCTCTTCTTAGCAAGAGAGAGTTTATCCTCCGTCGAAACGACGTTAACTGCTCCATCAATTCCAATTCCGTTCTTTGAAGCCGGATTTTTCATTCGAGTGAAATCTTCAACCAGAACCAATTCCTTTCTACCATCCTTCGTTTCTCTTTCAGTCATATGAGATCCGACGAACCGACACTTCCAACCAGCAGGACATCTTCCCTTAGCCTCCCATACAGGGCAAACGCCGCCAAAAGCATCCAAATCTGCCCGTTTGTACTCCTTCAGATATTTCCGAATGTCGTGCTCGAATTTACAGGATGTTCCCCATGGACAAGGGTCCGGTGAGAATTCGGAATGATAGGCAACCGTTTGGCAAAGCTGCTTCTCATCCTGAGAACGTCCAAATTTGCGGTTAACATTTTGTCCCCCTTTCTTCGCACGCTTCGCCGTTGATTTGTTATCACTTGCTTGTTCGTGGTGTTTGGCGGCTTCAGCCGCATCGTCATCCGGAACAGTCCCCGGGGGAAGCTGGGTCGTGCCCGGAGAGATCTCAATGAGATATCTAATCGATTTGCGTCAGAAATACCCCGATATACTCTGTAGATGGAGGATTGAATGCTTGGAGGAGAGAGGATTCGATCCTAGCATCTGCAAGCTCACTCTTTTTTTATGGGCGCAACGCCTTTCTTCCTCTCAACTTTGTTCGTCAGGGTTGTTTGCGAGTCAGAAACCAACTGCTCATCCAACTTAATCCTCTTTGCTGGGGAATCTGCGTAGTCATCAGTGCGGGCGTATCCATTCGCCTTGCGAATTTCCCCGCCAGCACTCTCCGCCGAACCGGTACCGTTGGACTGCGTCGCATTGCCATCTGAAGGAGCTGGATCCATTGCAAATCCTCCTTTCCGTAAACTTTCGGCAATGGCTACCCTATAGAGCAGAGGATCCAGCGGGAGGTTCTAGTCAGTTTGCTCCTCGCCCAGCTGTGTTGGAATATAATAATGCCCATTCCATTTCTTCTATCGCTAGCTACTCTTGAACGTTTGAAAATTGGCGGGTTTCCAGTGGTGAAACGTTTACCCGAAATTTGCGCGGTAATATTCTGGGCCAATAAGAGCCCATGATTTCAAAAGCTAGTAATCTACCTCGTTTGTCTGGAGGCGAGGCAATACCCTTCTCAATACCGTCTCACCGCCCCAAAAGCCGGAGGCTTCCTGTGGCAAAAGGAGCCAATCAGAGCCCGTTAGAGCGCCCGGCAGAAACCAGATTGCCTAATCTAGCCTCGGCTCCAAGCCCTGAAGATCATTCAAGGTTGAAGTTATTATAGTTGTATTGCCGCCGGCAACACGCCCGCACTCTCGTTCGTTCGGTTGGAAGAGAGCTTGTTAAATGGACTAGTCGACTGATCATTCTGAATCCAACCTGTGCTGGAGCGAGCTATCGAGGGACTTCGGAGAATTGCAATGGACTGCTCTCCAAGCAGTGGCAACTGGCCGGCGGATATTCGTTTCTCCTGAACAATAGGAGAGCATAATTCACCCGAATAACCTGTGAATACCCAGCTACCCCGGGATTTGTTGACTAATAACTCCGTAGGCAAGGCCGGCTTGAAGAGTAATAAGTAGCCTTGGGAGATGCGCCACGATGTATGAGTCAATAAAAGATGTCACTCGAGCGTCATAGGGAGAGTAGCTCTTGTGTACAGCCAGGCGGCGACACATCTGTGCGACCAACCCGTGGACAATGAAATGAAATCGCAAGAGTAGTGCACTAGTTAGTTAATTAACTGGTTAATGACAAAAAGGCTCAGTAATGATCTTATCTGTGTTATCCCTGGTTGACCTGACCTTGTATTCGTTGTCACTCCGGTAAGTACAGCAGTTAGTATAACCACTCAGACAACCAATGTTTTCGCGCGAGCCACAAAGACACCGCTCTTGGGAAGACGAGCTAGGGAAGTATCGTGGGCAGCCATGGAACATTAATAGTAGCAAACAATAGTGAACAACTGGTTGTCAAATCCACAGTCGAATGTATGTCGATGGATTTCCGGAGAGGACGTGACTCCAAGATGCAAGTGGAACTTAATCCCTCGAATGACGACGGTCTCCATTTATCAATCTCCATATATCGATTCCAGAACACACTCCCAAAGCGAACAAAACAAACCCATGGTCCGCCGATCCAAAACACCGAGGTGCAGATCGAGGAGCTCGGCGATTTTCATTCAGCAAAGAGCCAAGGAAGCAAAACAAAGAATACGTTACCCGACTGCTCATATTGATCTGGCAGAGCCCACCTCTCTCCCCTGCCACACTGCCATCCATCGATCAGGACGATGATGCTGCTGGTCAGAGATGGTAAGCGAAAAAATCGGAGGTTTGCCGCAATGGATGCCTGCTCCCTTGACCGCCTCCTATCGATAACTCTCTACTACGCTCTGTCCTCTTAACCATGTAGGTGTGAATCATGGACACTTTCCCCGGGGCGTTTGGCGAATGGACGAATGCTATTGTGTCCTGTGGGGTCCATGCTGTCTGTCACTTAAGTTTATACGAGGCACTTGGGCCAGATGAAATCGAAATATGATGTGTTTCGCGGGATTGCTGGGAGGAAAAATATTTACGCGGAGTTCTTCGTCGATAGACTCGATGAGTAACATTTAACAGCATAGGCACTATTGTTTATTTATTTACTTACTATTTATTTATTTATTTATTTATTTATTATTTATTTATTTATTCATTCATTCATTCATTCATTCATTGTTGTTCACCTGGAAAGCCCACGGAAACCCACATATGTATACAACATTAAGCCAACTCGAGTGATTCCTGTCAGAACGATAATTTTCAGTATTGTTGCATCCCAGTCAGCTAATTTCCCAGTGAGTTAACTGGTATTGTCTCTCCTCGACACGCCATTCAAACTGGCAAAACAGACTCCTAGAACGATCCAGATATCCTGACATGTTCCCCCGGTCTGTAGCCAACTCCGTGAAATATCCGGTGCTGGTTATAAATCAGTAATGTAAGAATACACCTTGGCCTCGGCGCATATTCGGGCCCCAGACATCAGCGGTAAATTGTAATGTGTCAGTCGCTGTCCGCTGTCACAAGAACCATCATTCTGTGGTAGATTGAGTCTGGTTCTGGAGTTTAGTTCTCCGCCATCCATCCGTGATCTCATCCACTCCATCCATGGGCCCCAGTCGCTCCGCAGTTGGGTATGACTTCAGATATTAATTAGTTAAGCTCACCCCGAACCGCCATCAATCGCTAACTTAACCTTCAGGCCATTCCCCGACTTCTTCTCATCCCTTCTCATTATTGTTCATTGTCCAAGTGTCCGATAGAGACTGTGTCTACATCTGGTGCATTCCGAACATCAACAACATCCGATCCATCTTCTTGTTGTGTCTGTATTTAACTCCCCGACTCCCACTTGGCTTGTGTGGTAGTTTACCAAGGTAGTTAACAACCACCAAGCCCGCCTTTAAGTTGCCCCCATACAACCACCACAATCGCCCACGAATCCGAACAAACAACCACAACCCCCCCCCCCTCTCTCTCTCCCTCCTCCTTCTGCCCCCTCCTCTCCACACCCCATTTTCTTCCCTTCTCCCCCAAACCCAGAGAGTTGCAGCGCAATTCCATCTTATCCAATTCCCATTATCTCTCTAATGCCCCAGTTCCCCGACACCCCCCCTCCCCTTCATTTTTCTCCTCCTTCCAGCGACCACGACCGATCCTCGACTCGCGAATCAACCCCTATTAGCACTCCCGTTGGCTTTGGCATCTCCAAATCCCGCACCGCTGAGCGGGATCGAGACTTGTATTTCTCCTGGCACCGGAAGGCAGCAGATAACGCTACCTCTTCCGCAGAACCCGAACCCGATCTTGAAAACGACTCTTTTCCGCTCTTCCCTTCTTCCCCCACTTCCGATCCCCCTGTGCGAACCACCATGGAGGGCCCGACTCCCCCGATTAACATTGCCTCCCGGAACTCATCAGTTTCCCCGACTGCCCAGCAGGCTTCGAATCTAACGTCTGCTCTGCAACGAGCTTCAACGACTGACAGACTTGCGGTTTCTTCGACTACCGCAGCTCCTAGTTCCGCTGCATACAAAACAAATGTCGTCCGTAAGGATTCGATTGGCGCAAATATGGCGCAGTGGGGGAATGGCACGAAGCCCATAACAGTTGCTGGCTCCAACCGGGAGAAACAGCGCCGTGAGAGCTTAGCAGGCAGTTTGGTTGGAGGCATGAGCTGGGGAGGGGTATCGGTTGGCAGTTGGATTCGAGATGAGTATGTGTTTTAATTATTATTATTATTATTATTATTATTATTATTATTTTGATTTTATATCTTTTGAAGAAATAGCAAATCCACCGATTTACATGATGGATGCCATGATTTCCCCATCTTCTGCTGTTTAATTACTGTTAAATGAGTACACTGATTAATAGACCTGCTACAGTATTCTCATGACCGGAACTTCTCCCTTCACTTTTCAGTCTCCTTCATACCATTCTTCGTCTTACCTCCCAAAACTTGAAGCAAACTTCATGCGAGATTTCTCATGTTGTGGTGTCACACTTCCGTCTCTTCACGACTTGCTGCAGCATTATGAGGAAGCCCATGCTCAGAAAACTCCGCAACCACCGCAACGATCTGGACAGGGAGGACAAATGTCCATGACAGATAACCGATCCGGAGTTCCCGGAAGCGTTAGAAATCAAACGCCCCAAAATCAGCAATCAGCTACTAGTACTAATCAAAATCGAGGCATTTCGTCGCCAAGGCCGAATAAGAGTCAGCAACCGTCCAACCACTTGGCGTCCCCGTCTCCACAACATCCTCAGACGCAGCATGGCGGCTTCATATCTTCTCCAAACGGCCTTCCCGATCTCGATACAGTCGACGATATGGATATGGATATGGAAATGGAGGACCCCTTGGCAGATAGCGCTTTTCGAGACTCCCAACTACGAACCACTATACAAGGTAGATTTGGACAGCAGAATCAAGGACGCTTAACGCCACTCAACATAGGTATGCTTCAAGGGCACCAGGGGCTCCGGAGTTCACAGCCAGGCACGCCCGTTACCCCTGGGCGTCCTCTCCAAAATAATCCAACCGTATCCTCAGTCAATACCCCGACCCTCGTCACCCACCAGCTACAGCAGCAGCAGCAAAATTCTGAATACCGCGAAACTCCGGATTCTTCTACGCCAAGAACTCCCGCCGAATTCGAAGAGTCGATTATCGGAGAGTTTGGAGACATATCAATGCAAGGCCAAGCTCAATTTTCCGGATATGGAGGAAACGATATGTTGAATCTCTGTATCGACGAGCCAGCGAAACGATTATTCAGCCCAACCGGTGGGTTCAATAAGCAACAGAATATGCTGAACAGGCTAGGGAACCAACCATACGGACCCAATAGCCAAATTGCCCAACGGATTCGAGAACAACAAATGCGTGCGGGCGTCCCAGACACCACCCTTGGGATGATGCCCAATGAAGAACCCAAACCATTCCGATGTCCCGTTATAGGATGCGAGAAAGCATATAAGAACCAGAATGGCCTGAAATATCACAAGGCGGTAAGTGTACAATCCCCAAAATAATCCAGTCCTTTTTTGTATTTCCATTTTCTAACCATAAATCGTGGTATTTTCCTTCCCCCCGCCCGGAAATATAGCACGGTCACAATAACCAACAGCTCCACGACAACGCGGACGGTACCTTCTCAATCGTCAATCCTGAAACATGCACTCCTTACCCAGGAACCCTAGGCATGGAAAAGGAAAAGCCGTTCCGCTGCGAAGTGTGCGGTAAACGATACAAGAATCTCAACGGCCTAAAGTACCACAGATCGCACTCACCGCCCTGCAACCCAGAACTGCAACTCGCGGCTGGTCGAAACCTTGGCGTGGGTGGAGTGATGCAAGGACAAAATATTAACGTCGCCGGAGCTGGCCTCCCTGGTATTGGCGAGGAGGGCCTTTGATGTTAATGCAAAACCGTCCCAAAAAAAGCCAATCTAAAAGCGGAAATCAAAAGGCAAAAGAGTCCCTACCTCTCCCCTGCCACTGACTCATCGGGGGGGGGGGGGGGGGTGTGGAAGATTGGGGTCTTCTTTTCTTTGTGTCTTTGACAAAAAAAGAATTTTTTTTTTTTTTTTTTTTTTTTTTTTAGTTTTTTATATTTACTTCTCTTCATCCCATCGTTTTATCTTTGCCTTGGGTTTAATTCTCACGCCACCGACTTTATTTTTGGTTGACGTCTCTCACTTTTTGGGTACCATTTGCATTTCAAACAAGGGGCCATCTATTATTTACTATCTTATATTCCCTTACGGCCAACAAAAAGCCTACAGCCAGCTATTTTTTCATCCCTTTTTTGCATCCTTTTTTTATTTTGGTTCCTGTGTCTATTTTCTATATTGTCTAGGTGTTTATTCTATTGTCTCTCTATGTTTTCCATGGCCTCTTCACTCATCGATTCTTTTTTCCCCTTCAAACTTATACATAAGTTCATACCTTACATACCTTCTTTTTTTTTTTTTTTTTTTTTTTTTTATTTATTTATTTATTTATTTATTTATTTGATATTTTGTATTCAAGTGGCAGTCTTCCAACGGTTTTCATGGTCAGCTATAGGCAAATAGACGTGTATTCTTCCTCATCTTTTCGCTTTAACTAGCTTCTGTTGTGATTATTTTGCTAAAATAAAAATTTGCCTTCTAGTTTATCTTTTGTTCGAGTATAATTATTATCAAAAGTATTCGGTTTATCTTTTTGATGTTTCTAATATGTTTCTTTTTCTTGGCTGGTGCAACTCGCAGCTCGTCAAAAGCGGATCTTGTTCGTTCCCCTTGGCTTTTTGGCTGTATGTGTTTCTAGAATTGGTGTTTTTTGACTGCCTTTCTCCCTTGCATCTTCGATAACTGAAGGTGTCAATTTTTTGTTCTGTGTTTTCTTCTGTCTGATCAAGTTGTTTTCCATTTATTGCCTTGGGTATATATGACACGATTATGTATCTTCGCGTAACTATCAATTTAATTTGATCTGTCTACCCACGTAAATTTGGCGATGTAACTTATCGGCATCATCATCTCTAGGAAGCCCAATTGTTTCCTGTCCATACATTAATAACAGCTCTTTAACCCAAGAACGGACAAACCATTCCAAAATTTAAAGAAGCAAAGAATATAAAGAGAGCTAAGTCGTCCACATCCCACGGGCAACACGATTTCCTCGCCCAACTTTCCTTGTTCCGCTTGCCCCCAAGCCGTGGGCCACGGTTGGCCTCGCCAGAAGCAACACAACCGAACCCAACCACACCCTTCCCTTGCTTCGAAGGAAATCGAAGGCTGAAAAGTAACAAATCGGTCGCAGTACGTGGCATGTTGCAAGGGAAGCCCAAGTGACGGCTGGACTGATTCGAGAGAACTCTCCATCCTCATAGGGGTGCATATTGGGGGCTAGCCATCTAGTTCCCGTCCCCGTGGCTGTTTTCGGTTGGATGCAGTTGGTTAACTTCGCTTTGGAGGCCCGCTCCAGGCTAATGTATCAACGCCCGCCAAGATGGTGGTTGGTTTAACTAACTATTAATTAGTAGTTAGGATTTGGGGAGAGAGGGAATAGACTGCTGGCGATTGGGCGGGCCTTTTTGCCAGGTTGTTCTAACAGGATTAAGAACAGATCGATAGATAGCTCAATGATTGAATACTTTTTCGATTTTCAACCCTGCCCGAAAACCTAGTTTAAAGTGGTTATCTTAACGAGCATCTTCAATTGTCAATTTCGACTCCGATTCCAATCACAGGGTATTCATTTAAAGGAGAAAATATCAAAAAAAAGAAAGAAATTAAATCTACACTACATAGTTTCAAGCTCACTTCCTATTATATTCGTCTTGTTCATACAGCATGGTATGACAAAAATGGAAGAACACAGATTTAAAAATGAAGATGAATTTATTGGGGAAAGAGGGGAAGACGGGACGGGACTTAAGAAAATAGGAGGTCAACTTAAGATAACAACCATGAAGTTCAAATTTCACCACGGCTTGTGAGACAAAAAAAATATCATGGCAGCAGAGTATTTTTATCCTTGTTCTCAGGTTTAATAACAACTTAAAATCGATGATGTTTTGTTGAGCTTAAAACACATACCAAATGGCATGGATGAGACGCAGGGATAGGTAGGAGATACGGGAAAAGAAACGCTGCAAAACATGCTCTCTAATCAAAAAAGCGAAACAAGAAGCCTAGCCAAATGAAATCATTGTGCTTCGAAGATCCAGAGTATGGATTGGAAGATGGTTTAGAGAAGGGGGGGGAAATGGAGGGGAAAAAGGAGGTAGAACAGTTCAAGGGCTCATATGGCAATTCATCAGGGCAACATGGAGAGCAAAAGTACAGAAACAAGAACTGGAATGTCAAAAATACATAGTTGAAGGAAATCAGATAATACATGACGTGTGGCTTCTAGCTTTCGAAGTAATCATTTGTATGGATGAATTTAATATGTTGATTGGTATTGGATGGATGGATGGATGGATGGATGGATTGTTTCTTTGGAGAGTGTGTTTCCTTCAGACGAAAAGGAAATGGGTGTGTTGGTAGATAGAGGGTATTCTGATGATGGAGGGAGTCAAAGAGTTTGCAGGGCGCATGCCAAAAATCCTCAAGAGCTGACGTTATCAGGAGTGGAAGGTCTAGTCTAATACCACTCAAACTCGCCGTTGCCCTTATGAAACACATACCTTCAAAGAAATCAATATCAGCCACCGCATATAGACGGAAGCAAGAAATGGCTAAAAGAGAATTTAAAGAGTTGTAGTTAAACTTACTCTTTCCCGCCAGACGTCAGAATCCCATCCTTAAGCGTGCACTTCCATTTACTCTTGACGCGCTGAACCTTATCATATGTGCACAGCATGACTTGTCCAACTGCATCATCGCCATCATTGGAGTCATCAAGCAGGTCGTCCGGGTCATCCAGATCAGAGTTGATGGCGTCCTCATCCTCCTCGCCCCGCGCGTTGCCATTATAGTCACCCACCCCGTCATAGGGAGCTGGGCCAGATGCTGTGATAGTAACTGTGGGGTTGGCGGATGGAGAGGCAGAAGCGGGATCCAATCCCTCAGAGGCACTAGAGGGGTTAGTCATGAGATGAGCCTTGCGTTTTGTGCCCTTAGCAAAACTTGACTGTTCGCTCAGGGGTGCTAGAAGACCACCGGCTTCAAGTTGTAGTCCCCGGGATTCTACGTAGGAACGGAGAGAGTCGTCAAATTGACCCTTGTCCTTTGCTGCAGCTTCCCTCCTGCGGGAAACTTCGGCTTTCCATTCATATAATGAATCGCCAGCGCCGTCAGTTTGTGAATTGTTCACTAGGGGTCTCTGCTGCTGCTGTTGCTGCTGTGGTGGTGGTTGCTGCTGGGCGGGGTTCTGATATTGTTGAGGTTGTTGAACTGGCTTTTGACCATGGGTGAAAGAACCTGCCACACCGGGGAGTTTCTGTGCTCCCGGAAGTGACAATGCAGCAGCTTGCGACTGTGCTTGTAGCTGATGGACTTGGTTAGCAGCCGCCGCTCCATATCTCTGATGCAACGCATTTGCAGCACGCTGCTGTGCGAGAGTTGATGGGTTCACCGGAGGCAGGCCTGAGGGAGTAGGTTGATACCCGGATTCTGTTTTGACACCAACTTCGGTGACTGAGGATTCAGCTGTTGGAGAAGAGACCTGTAAAGGTAGCTGCTGCTGCTGCTGCTGCTGCTGCTGCTGGGGTTGCTGCTGGGGTTGCTGCTGGGGTTGTTGGGAAAATTGATTGGTTTGAGGTGGTGGGGTCGCGGTCATAGGGTCATTGGAGGGGACCGTGACAGGGGCAGCAGGAATAGGGGTCTGTGGTTGTTGTGGATGCTGAGGTTGCGGCGGTTGTTGAGAGGCAGGTGGGGCAGGCTGGGGAGCAGGATCCCAGGGAAAGTGGGCAACCCCAAGTGAGGACAGTTTCTTCCGCCATCCCTGGGGGGCATAACCTGTATTAGCATCAAGCAGATGATTGGAAACAATTAAACGAACGAACTAAAAATCGCCACACAAAGTCCGTCTGCAAGCATCAAACGTTGTACTCGGTCTCGTAGCACCATGGGGGCCATATCTGCGGGCCCGTGGGAAAAGTAAAGGCGGTAACGGGGAGCACAAGGCGGGAACGGCGGATGCTTAGTCATGGCGCGAGGGTTATTGCCGAGACGCGAGTCGCACAGCCAAGCGAGCAGCCAGCCAGGGTGACTCGCGAGTGGCTCAGCGCGACCCGGAGTAACCCAGAGTAACCCCGGGCTAACCCAGAGTAACCTCGAGTTAACCCAGCTACCCGGCCCAGCGACCCAGAGTGGCCCAGAGTGACCCCAGCATAAAAGCTGGCCTGGATTCCCTTTAAGCAGTCCTTCATCCCCCTTCCCCCCTGGGGGCGCAAGAAAAAACCCCGCGCCTCGGTTGCCACTCTGGGAATCTCACTCGAAGCGGGCACCCCAACAACAACAACAACAACAACAACAACAACAACAACGCAAATATATCATCGCCTGTCCAGCTGCCATCTCTTTGGCTGCTTGCTGAGGAATAGCAGCAAAAGGGAAAATAAAAAGTCTGCTAACCTTTCTTAGATCTTCCAGTGTCTGCTGGTCCACACCGCCCTCTTCAAAGTCAATCTGGGACAAGTCGCATACTTCCTGAATAACCCGATCAAACACAACGCCCTATTATCGACATGACAGATACGTGAGCCCCAAATTCGCTCCGGATCGATATATGATATAGCGGAGGGGAGTTGGGATGGATATTCAGCACCAACAACGCCTCGCCTGACTTACCACCTGCTGGTTTGACATCTTGCGATATATAGGATGGCAAAGGTGAAGAAGAATGGGAAAGAAAAAAAAAAAAAAAAAAAAAAAAAAAAAAAAAAAGAGGAAACGAGATTTGAAAGAAAACCAAAATACGGATCAAAATTTGATACTGCTTAAAGGATGGGTTCAGCTGAGGTAGAGCACGTCCTCTGGCGCAAGAGGTTGTACCTATGGTTTTTTGGTTTTTGTGTTGTTGAATGATGCCACCTAACAAAGCTTCAGCTCAGCTCCCATGCGCCGTTGGGAGAACTGACCGATTCGACTGAAACCTGCCACTACCTATCCACGACGCTTTTGTAAAACCGGACACAGTAAATATCACTTTGACTTTTTAGACCTGCTGTACAATTCTATGGGGTAATTTTGAGTGTTCTGGGTGCTGTAGGACCCTGTTGTCGCGGATTTTCTCAGACGGCTGGCTGCTGGGGTCGGATGGTGAAGAAGGGAGAAATTGTATTTATAGTGGAAAATCTATCACCCACCACCTGATTAGTCAGCACACCTAGACTCTGCCATCCATGGAATGACTTCACTTGGTTCAGATGGTATTATTCTAACACCATGACAATTCCCATGTGCCAACTTCTCCAATTGCCTTTTTTACGTTCTCGTCATCCATCTATTGATTCCTCTTGCAGAAGATTTTGGTGCTTCTAGTTTCTGCTGTGTCTCCATGGTTGGTTTAGTAGAATGCCGCTTCTCAGTAGATTCATACATAGAACACGAACTTCAATGCGCTGTCGATAAGCCAGAAGAAAAGGATTTTGTTGTTCTCATGGTGTCTATGGTGCTCCATACATCCTGGCTTCTTTTAAAGATTGACCGATACCTAGTGTACCTTCTAAAAGAACACCGAAAGGCAAATCGAAGAACATTTTTCCGAAAGCGAAGCAAGGTGATCCGGAAGGGAGAGGTAACAATCAAACTGCATTGATAAACTCGGAGCAATCAACAAAAGCTAGAATAAAGAGAGGAACTCAAAAACCCAAACCGAAAACTAATTATACCAATCTGGTGGAAGAAAGAAGAACGAGGGAGAAGAACGCCCTGCTCAGAATGCTGAGTCCACGCTTTTGACCCCCGGCCCCACGGCCAAGCAGAAGCAGAGCAGCTGAGAATGAAAAACGCCCTGCGCATTGCAATACTGATACTCTGAGTGATGCAGAACGACTTGAGTAGACAAAACACGTCCCATCAGAAATGACACATTAATATCGATTACCGAATGGTCATCTGCTTAGCCATCTGGCTACCTTTGGATCCAACAGCTCCCTCCCGTGACGCGGCAGCAACGGTGCCTGCCTTGCGCTCAAAAACCTTCCAGAATTTCAGACTTTCGTCGGCAGCTAGGAAAAAGGAAAGTGTTAGCACGCAGCAAGGGGGAAAAAAGAGGTGTGACTTTAGGGTCCTTGGAGATTAAGACATACCAGCAGTGGCCAGCATCTGACCGTCAGGGCTGAGGCAGCTGTGGAGCACACGGGTTTCGTGTGCGGGAATTTCAACATTGCGGACAAGGGATGGGTAGCTCCAGATGCTCAGGGAGTTATCTGGGAATCCGCTGGAGCTGACGAGCTCGCGGTAGTGGTTGCTCCACCGCAGGCTGGTAACTTGGGAGCCGGTGTCGATGCTGTTGGTACGTGCGCCAGTGGTGGTGTTCCAGAAGTGGATGTGGCGATCGAAGGATCCTCCTCCACTGGCGAGGAGGTTCAATTGCCATGGGCACCAGCTGAGAGCCTTGACGGCAGCACGGTGGTTGGTCTTGGTGAACTTGGGAGCGCTGAGAGATCGGGAGTCCCAGATGGAAACGAGGTTATCATTGCCACCGGTCGCCAGTTGGGCACCGTCGGAGCGCCATTCGAGACCACAGACTTCAGAGGTGTGAGAGACAAGCTCAGCGGTCTTGTGCTGGGCGATGCGAACGTCGTGGTTGAAAACGAGACCACTTCTTGCACCAGTGGACAGAATATGCTTGGACCACCCCATAACTCCAACACGGGTTTCATGGCCGAACATGCTCCGCAACTTGGTACCCTCTTCAACATCCCAAATTTGGACCTCACCGGAGCTGAGGCCAACGCCAACGTAGGCTCCATCACCACTCCATTTCACGCTGCTTACATAAGTGTCGGGTGAGGTTTCGAGCAGGCAGTCGACAGAGCCACTTTCCGCAGACCAGACATAGACATTGCGTTCGAGGCCAATCGCAACCTGGTTACCCGAACTCCAATCCAAAAGATTGAGGTAATAGTCATCAACAAGGCCGGGGGCATCTAGAACACGCTCTGGGGCTGTCTGCACTCGTCGTCGGAACTGGGCGGATTGAGCGTTGGCCGGCTTGAGGGGCCGGTTGTATTGGGAGCGGAGATCAATGGGTTTAGATGATTCTGGTGGAGGGGGCTTGAACGAGAGAATGCGAGTGTTCAAGGAAATGTCACAGGCGGACGCAAGGGTTGACTTGTATGCAACAGCATCTGGCGCTGGACGAGTGTAAGAAGTCGTGTTGTCGTTGTCTTCGAGGCCAAGATTCTCTAATGCGCTCGCGATATCGTCATCGTCGCTGCGGCTTCCAATATTAAAAGCACTAGCGGCATTAGCTAGTACTGTGGATCCTTCACTAGACTTGGGGCGTTGGTGTTCATCGGGCTTGGCGGCCCCCGCGGTAGCAAGGCCTTCACTGGTGGTCCGGTTTGGAATGAAGCGGTCCGCAGTATTGTGAGGAAGTCGAATGGTTGTCTTCGTGGCTCTTGAAGACCGGATTTCCCTCTTCTTTGATGGTGTTTGTCCAGCGGCTGGACCAGTCCCGGTCAAGGACCAATCAGAAACCGCCAATTCCAGGTGACGGGGAGAGTTTCTGCCTTTGGCAATGTTGGATTTGGGGGAATCTCGGTGTGTCCCTCTTGATACTGTTCTTGATACAGATTTGGCGAAGTGTGAAGAAAGGTTGCCACCATAAATTGACTGAGAAGCCACGCGCGGGATCTCTGAAGATTGCTTTGGTGGGGTGAAGGGAGAGGATTTGTTCGACACGTTCGTCGCCAAACTGACCGTTCTGGACCTTGGCGACGGTGTCAGGGGCATGCGGCCACCAGCTGTCTTGGAGGAGAAGAGACCATGATGAGTCTTCAACGGTGTTGATACGGAAACCGTTGCCATTGTAAGTAAATGTGAATGACTTATGTTGAAACGAAAGCAAATAGACAATACAATGGGACAATCCAAAGTTTCGACCAGAATCTTCGTGGCTGTGATGTTTGGAAATGAAAAAAAAAGAGAACAAAGGAGAAGAGGGGAAAAAAAAAAATTCTGGACTTTGCAGAGAAGCGTATGCTCAAACAAGGGGTGATCAGGTCCGAAATGGAGGATGATCTAATAAACTTGGAATAGCTATGCTCAACAAAGATACAAAGTACTGGATGCGATAGATGCAGGGGATAGAGAAGTAGAGGATGCAAAAGTAAGCGTATAGGTTATGGAAGAGGGAGAGGGTAAAAAGGAGGTTGATGTTGAATGGAAGAAGAAGAATTGAAGCACGACGTTGATCCCCGCTGCAAATAAATATTTACACCCACTTAGCGCCATTTGATCTCTACAGCAACGGCCGCTGAGATACACTATACTATATTTGGGTTAGCGTCTTGGAGCTAATTTGCCAGTGCCAAGGCTTAGTCTAAGTTTTGCCAAGCCTTCCCTTTTGGAAATAGCGTCGGAATCATCTGCTCATCATTGCAGAGCCGCAACCGCCAACCACTTCCTCTTAACTGGACGACATCACTACGTCTTGGCCTCCAACGTCTCAAATTACCCATATCGTGCAATGGGAATGTCGTCGCAGAACCGTATGGCACTTTTGGAATCAGCTTGACCGCTTAACTCTTCTTCGTCAAGCTCCTGCGTTTTAACTTTCTGCCCCTGATGGCTCACGAACATTCAACACCGGCTGCTGGAGCTGCAAGTGGATCCTATTCGGCACAGCATGGAGGTAATGGTGTTGGTGGTGGCAGCAGCTGGGGTGGCTCTTCTACATTAACCTCCTCTAATTTAACGCCAGTCTCGTCGCTGTTGTCGCCCTCAGCGGCACAAGCCACCAACTCCTATCTTATGCCCACCAGCCATCCTACGGCCCGCCGTGGTAGTGGTGATAGCTATCGTCCTGCAGTGAAGAAGTCCAACGGACAACTCCCTGCCTGTCTGGTAAATGCTTCGGTAACCTACTGTGGAAACAACCAAATTTATGCATTTGGAGGCTTCGATCAGTACACAGACGAAGGTCAGAGAGAGCTTCTGAAGTCTACAAACTCTTTTCGGGAGCGTTACTGATTTTAACCTATCCAGTTTACAATCATGTCCTCCGGCTGGATCTTACGGCCCTCAAGTGGACTTTGGTCGATAATTATGGAGACATCCCTGGTGTTCGGATGGGTTTGTTGTCTTCTTTTTAATTTTATGGTTCATTGCTATCCAAGCTGACGAGATACACATACAGGCCATACAGCGTCTCTGTACCAAGGCAATAAACTTATTGTGTTTGGCGGCGAGAATGAACACCATGAGTATCTCTCTGATGTGGTTATTCTCGATATTGCCACATCCACGTGGGCATCCCCCGACATTCGAGGACCAATCCCTCGCGGAAGAGCTCGACATGCCTCGGTGGTTTACGAGGATAAACTTTTTGTTGTTGGAGGAATAACTGGTGAAACCAATTTTATCCTCGACGATATATGCTATCTCGACTTGAAAACCTGGACTTGGTCCCGTTCGTGGAGTTTTGTTGCTCGATTCGATCACACCGCGTGGATCTGGGGAGGCCGCCTTTGGGTTTTCGGGGGTCTTGGTTCGGATATGGAGCGTGGCACCGATCTTTGGTGGTTGGACTTGAAAGGCTGCCCGTCTTTCGGCATGTCATCCTCTCAAGGTACCGTCGAATCCCTAGGAACGCTCGATAGAATGACTGACAGCCCAGGAGCCCAATATAGTCCTGCCACCGTGCAAGGACGTCCCAGCGGCTATGCTGCCAATTCAGCTAGCGTGCAGGTAAGAGCCTTCAACCGCCGAAAACTCACTGCTCCCGGGGCGATTTCTTCCCTCAAGTTCCGCTCTGGTCCCCATGTACCAACGCTTCTTTCCGGAACCCACTTCCATGTTTATTCCTCTGGCGTTCTTCTTGACCTAGTCACCCCGTCCGAGACCGTTCGACCTTGGGATTGCAATCTGGCGTCTTTGGAGCTCGATTCTCTGAGGTGGCAGCGTCTGGCAGATGGACCGGAGATCTTCAAATCAGGATACCGCTGGCATTATTGTACTCTTAACGAAGACGGTACGAAAGCCTGGCTACTTGGATGTAGCCTTGATGTGACAAATGGAACTGGTATTGGTGACGAAAATCGTTTGAACCAAGTGCTTCCCATTGATCTTGAGCGGTATGGTCTGCTAGGGAATGACCTCGCGTTTGAGAATTCAGAGCACGCTAGAATACTTGCGCCGGAGCGACAGGAATCTCCCCGCTGCACGGGGCTTGGCACTGACCTAATTGCTGTATTCGACCAACCTCCTGAAAATGGTAGCGGAACTGACTTTATCATTACCGCTGAGCGCGATGACCTTAATTACTCAGAATCTAGTGATTCATCAACCGTGTCGCCCTCTTCCCAAAATGAAGCCATCTTTGTTCCAAACAGCGCCTGCACCTCTCAGCCAATCCACGTTCACAGGATCATCCTACAAGCTCGGTGGCCGCACTTTAAACGTCTATATTCTGCTCAAATGGCGGAATATCATACCAAAAGAATGCACATCCCTGAGCCATATTCTTTCGTCCGAGCATTCCTTTACTACCTATACACTGACAGCATTGCGGGCCATCCAGAGTACTGCTCTGACATTATTGAAGTGGCTGGAATGCTGGTAATGGCTAACCTCTACGACATGCCTAAACTCCGGCTATTGTGCGTTAATCGACTCAGTCGGGAGCTGGACGTCAATAATGCTGCAATTATCTGGGATCGTGCTGGAAGGACGAATGAGGAATGGCTGAAGCGTCGTGCTGCCGTGTTCTGCCTTGCGAACTGGGGTCGCATTGTCAGAACTGAGGGATTCCGCAGTCTAAGCAGGCAGAGCTTGATGGAACTATGCGAAGTAGTGGATATGGAGGGGCGAGTGATTCCTGGACATGAACTTGAGTTAGCTGGCGAGTTGGATGCGTTTGGTTCAGGTGGGGATAATAAACGAAGTCGTGTTGTGGTTGGTAGTACGCCTGGCCCGGGGATGGAGGACCTTGAGGATGGCGATGGAGATGAAGATGATGGCATGGAGCTGTCGTGAATACTGAGGACGGAAAAATTTTAGAATATAACCTACGAGTCAACGATGGATGCCCGTGCATGTATTGTATTATTACTTTTGTGCTTAATGCTGAACCTTGACGACTGCATGCATATGGGGCGCGGGGAAGCGGGGACTGGTTTCATGTGCTTTCTCCAATTTTGATTCATGGTCCCTTTCTTTTCTTTTCCTTTCCTTTCTTTTTTAATGCATTCACAACATATTTGTCTGCTTTATACTGCACCCCCATAGATTACAACGGAGGAGGTAGATATCCTTCTTATTACGATAGTGAACGGCCTTCTCATCACATTTCTAGCGCTTGGATCTGTCTTTATTATTTAGTCTTGCCCTTTCCCGTAGATTGTTGTAATCGGCCGACCACCAGCCACCGGGACTTACTGACAGAACCTTTCCGGACCGTCGTCCTCCACGAAAAATAGTAAGCGACAAATGCATTGGGGAAACTTAGTTTATTCACCTGTGACAACAGAAATAAAGGACCGCTTGTGTAATTCAAATGTTTCAGAGACCACTATTCCTTTCTCCCTGATTGGTAAGGACATTGTATGTAGTTATGAATATGACTTATATTGTTACAGTTCTAAGTGATACTGAGTAGAAAGAAAATTACGTTATATTCATGATACGTATTAATGGAGTTCTCACTCAATATACTGGAGTGTTCATTCGAAAACAGAAACTCGGGAATCTGGTTGGCCGGCGATATCTACACAGTTGGAACTTGAATCCAGCAATCAATCAGTCATTGCGGAGAAATGTACATTCAATCTAGTGAGTGAGCGAGTTTCTCCGGGAATGGAGGGCTCTTACCTTGATTAGGATATTGCTTTTCATATACCTCACCGGTGTGAGCCGTCCGAAACTGGATAAATTGTTTATGACGTCGGTTACATATTCGGCTTATCCACGACAAATAAATTTCGTAATTCTCAGGTCCATTGCTGGGTGTCTTTGTCGAACCCGATGATATCCAGCTCAACATTCAAACTTTTGAGCATCATATCCATCGTAAAGCTCTGAGACGAAAATATTAGTCGTTAGATATACCATATGGAGAAAATTGAAGAAGATGGAACACAAGGTTAAAAGGAAGAATCAGCAGACCTCATCCTCGTCCCCTAACTCATTATTCCCACCACCATGCCCTCCACCTACATTTTCACTATCCGTTTCCATTTCCGCCTTTTTCCTTTCCACCTCCTCATCCCATTCACTCTCCAAATCCTCCCCATCTCCAACAGCACGAACATCTTCATCCCATCTCGCCCTCTTCTCCTGTGCCTGCCTCATCCTCTCCTTCCACCCTTTAACGCCGCCCATCCTCTCCACCCTCTCCTCAGCACTGACAAACAACTCTTCCGCCGCCTCTCGGCTCGCTGCTTTCCACTTGGCAATCAGCACTTCAAGCTCCGCGTCTTGTCCTGACTGTTCAACTTTCAGCGCTTGGTTGACTGAATCGAGTTCTGCGCGCAGGGTTATAAGACGAGTTGTCAGGGCAGAGTGTTTCTTTTGGAGGGTGATGAGCTCTGATGGCACACTTGGTGATGATGGTGACGCTGTTGGCGGCGGAGCTGGTGGGATTGTGGTAGGTTTTTTAATAACTTCGGAATGGGTACGGGAGGAGTGCTTGTCGGATGCATTGGGAGAATTGGGAGCATCAGTTGCAGCTTTCGGATCTGACTCCGTGTCTTTCTTTCCGCCATTGTCTGTGGATGTGCTTTCAAGTTGTTTGCGGAGAGGTGATTTAAAAGGTTTGAAGAGTGTAGACGTAGCTTGGTCGATTCGACGGCGTTTGGCAGCTTGGTAGGACATATTTGACGTGAAGGAGTAACGAGCACGTAACTTGTAATGGATATCAGCTACGGACGCAAGCTTCTACACTTTGTATATCTGTAATAAATACGCGGAATGCTGTAGCTACTTAAATGCAGTAATTGGGAATGTGTCAACTGCCTCATGTCGATCTGATAAGATAGAGCTTCTGGCACACGTGATACTATAATATCACCTGGAACGTCTGAAGCAACAGCAACAACAGACAGGGGAGTAGACTCTGCCCTGAACTTCTGAAATGCGGCGAGTTAAACATTATTCACAAGAATACATTTCAATAAGAAAATGCTCTTTTTTATCCGAGTTCCTGCCCATTATATAAATCGAGTCGAATACAAAAAAAAAAAAAAAAAAACCAAGGGCCATTTTAGTTAATGGCCGACCCCACCAGCAACCCAAGCTGCGAACTCGGGATCGTCAGGCTGGGGGAAAAGCCCTCTATCCTCTTGCCTTTGTTGTCTATCGACGGCACCTTCAGTCCCCGCAGGGTTATTCGCTGGTTGCCCTGTTCCATTCCTTGCCGGAGCTCTGCCATTGGCGGCAGCATTCTGGTTCTCCTGACGTCCACGTCGTAGAGCTCGCTGCTGCCGCACATACACGAGGATAACCAATATCACTGCTAACAAAAGGATAACGAAGCCATCAAAGAATTCGTCGTCAAAATCAATATCATACTCGTTGTAAAAATTCTTATCTTGGTCACTAATGACTTTTTCGTCCATGGCATCTGTCCCGGTTCCATCTTCGGAAAAGACGCCATCCAGATTATCAGGATTGGATTGACGTTTCAGTTTGTGTTTGTGGTAATCTTCGTTTTCCTCTTCGTCATAGGTGATGAAAGCTGTAATCCATTCCTTAAATGATCGGTGGGGTTTCGCATCTAGATGGTGCAGAAGGAAACTTGTCAATGGGACATGGACAAGGAACTCGACTCCAAGGATGCCCGGATAGGTAGGATGAACTGGAGTCGAAAAGCAATCAGCTACAACTCACCTGCTTCTGTTCGGATGGGATTGGCATTTCCGTGCGTTATTTTATTCCAGAAACTCCGTATTCGCAACTTGATTAGACTGAGCTTAACGGGTAGATAAGCTTCATAATTGGTTTCAAGAGCCAGATCGTAGAATCTTTTCGCCATATGGAAATCTTGCTCCGTAGCATAGCCATTTTCATGCATCCAACCCAGATTCCAGAACGCCTGGGCACTGTGATACCCCTCCGCAGCTGAATGGTAGCAGGTAAAGGCCTTGTCAAGGTCAGGCGACGTCCCGTAGCCATAGAAATAGTAATCTCCCATTTTCACAAGAGAGTCAGTGTTCGCTTGCCTTCCAGAACGAGTCCAGTATATAAGTGCTAAAGCAGCATTCCGGAGCAAAGATGGCCGGCGACTCCTGGACCGGGGCAATATTGAATCAAGTGGAAGAACAGAACGTTGCTCGTCCAGCAGGTACGCCACGTTTGCCTGAGCATTCTCATAGCCCTGCTCTGCTGCCATCATTGAAGCAACCAAGGCAGTCTCCTTGTCGCCATTTTCATATGCGGTATTAGCCTCGTGGAATGAGGAATGTATGGCCTCGACCTTTTCAGCCACCATTTTATAGTAAGCTGTCGCCACGCCACAATGACGCTCCTTTCCTATCCCTTTTTCGGCAATTTCCGCAAGATAATAGAATGCTTCGATCCAACCGTATCGAGCCGCTAACTCAAAGTATCGTGTCGCCGTGGCCACATCGCCCTGGTCAAGAAATAGAGCACCAAGCCTGGTTTCAGATGCTGGAAAGTCCTGTTCTGATGCCGCCTTGAAATAAGCCGCAGCTTTCAACCCGTCTTTGGGGACTCCATATCCATTCAAATACATCAAGCCCATGTAGTGTTGGGACATGGGGTCCCCAAGAGGTATTCCTCGCTGAAACCAGGTTAACGCTTTTTCAAAATTCTGCTCAGTGCCCTCCCCACGCAGGAACATGAGTCCAATGTGCGCGGCCGCTTTTGCAGCAGTCTTCTCAATCCCTATTGGGTGGCTGGAGATGATTTTGCCGTCCTTTGTCCAGTATTTTTTTGCGACAAGCCCAAAATATCGCATTGCTCTCCGTACATTTCTCTTCAGATTCTTCGAACCCTCGTAATACATCTTACCCAGGCTAAAAGTGGCCTTTACATCGCCTTTCTTCGACAAGAGATCTAAATATTCGAGCACATCTTCAAGGCTTGCATCGGAACCTGAGTTCTGGCCATCCCTATTCGCATTTGCACCGGAGCTTGAGACGCTTGCGCCTTCGCCATACACCCCACCCTCGTCATCAGCCCAGTTATAAGACTCTCTAATGAGCATTTGGCCTCCAGGTGGGCCTGACCTGTAGTAGGCCATTGCCTGGTCTGCTACTTGTTTGTAATAAAGCGCTGCTTGGTCGCAATCACGAGGTGCTCCGATGCCAAGGTACCGGCGAAATGCTACGGTCATTTGAGATCTAATGTTTCCTCCCATAGCTGCGAATGTATGATAGAGCAAAGCCTGGCCTTGATGCCGTTTGACTGCCCCTCCTATCCCTGTGGCATACATAAACCCAACCATATATTGTGCGGTGCTATTGCCTTCCAGCGTTGCGAGTGTTTTATATAGTTCGAATGCCCTGGTATAGTTCCGTGGATGGGTAAAATTTCCGTAAAAATTCATTTCCGCCAGAAGAAATATTGCATCTGGGTGGTCTTGGTTTACTGCATCTTGAAGGAGCAACACTGCGTCTTTGAGTTCGGGGGATAGTTTATCTGTCCCTCTGGTAGAGTGTCCGTCGACAGTTATGTGGGGACGGTTCATGAATAATAAGTAAAATGCCTCTCTCGCATAGTATTTCGTATATCCAAGGAAGCCGGAAGGCCGGTCATGTCTATTGGCAGGGACGTTCACAGTGCGGAGGATGTTCAATGCCGCTTCAACAGATGGTTGACCTGAAGACCAAAAGTAAAGCGAAACTGTTATTTAACTTCCTTCTCTCTTCTCCCATGTCCTCTCGTTTTTAAAAACTCACCACTGGTCTCCCCATCTTCCCCCTTCCTCTTTCCCCGGGCTCGCAGCCGAAGTTCATCGGGAAGCCTAGTTTCGGACTGGGTAAAGGTGTTGCTGATATCCGTAGTCGCTCGAGTTTCATCGTGTGCATCTTGAGCCTGTATAGCCAATATCTGGAGTAATACTGGATATTGTATATATCAGCTTCGTCGTCCCATTTGCCAAAAGGAATACGTGGCGAGCGAAAGAGAACGGGGTAACAAACAGAGAGCTATAGGCAGTATGTGCCATCTCCTCGGCCGCTTCATCATTCCTGCAGTCACAAAGAAATTATTCTAAGAGAGTAGGTCATTGCGACTCATGCCACAAATGAAATGAAATCGACAGTGGTTGTGAAAAGCGTAGAATGCATTATTCTGACGTTGTACGCACGGAGTTTTGTATTTTGAAATACTTTGCGACTAGCTGAAGCTTGGGGGCTTTATCTGGCCACATAAACTATTTAGTTAAGCTGGTCGTTCGCTGAACCTCGGACACCGGAGCTTTGATAGGCCGATGTACCCCAGTCCAACCAGCGCAACAACCACGTAAATAACGAACTACATACACATCTTCCTTTACACTCCATCAATTGTGAGTTTAGCAGCATTTGCTCTACTGCCTTAATTGTCGTTGGCTCCCCTGCTCTGCCAAAAGCCTCCCATGGTCTAGAATAACAGACAGAATTGCAAGTTTAAGAGCCAGCCGAATCACCAACTCAGCCGCGTTTTCTGCTCTGGGGACGGCCAGGATATTTTTACCACAAGTATTTGCCAACGCGGTCACAATAGAAATGCCTTAATGTGATTTGTTCCTCTCTACAGGCTTTTACAGATATCTGACTTCCTGTGATCAGAAATTAAACCTTCTTGCCATTTACAGTGGTTCGCTGTTACGTCTACACTAGACAGGCCAAAATATCCAGACAACACCTTTTGAAGTGCTGAGGTCAAAATTGATACATTTAAACTTATTCAAAAGGGCACAACACGTGGCACTTCTCATGGCTAGATACGGATGCATAATTATCCCTTGCTGTTGTGTACCAAGACGGCAAATTTGACGTGTAACAGCTAGAAGTTATCGTGATCGATGAAGCTTCGGGTAGAATCACGATAATATGGCACGCTCATGAAAGAAGTTCTATCGGGACTTTGAATATGCATCCCCAGCTGGAACGGAGAGGGTCGAAGAGAGACCCATGGATACAAATTTGTGCTTCTAATTATGAATAGTGATACTAGGGTTTTCAACGCACCGTTATGTGGCCACCTAGAGATTTCGGACATATACAAACATCGGAGATGGCAATGGACAAAAATACTCCATAAGCGAGCGTGGCATCCCATACCATTCCGACTTAACAACTGCGATCATCAGAACTGCCATTGCAACATCCAGGTATTCATAATCTCTTGATCAATTGGCTTAAGCTGTTGCATCGTTATGCTCGCTTCCTGTGTCTTGTGAGTTTCTAGGACCGCAGGCTTACCATGACCATCAGTTCCAGCAGCGAAAACACTACGAAAGAAGTCAAGAATTTTCAATGCCGGCTTCTGCTGAAGATCTCTCTGTGTTGGGTTCTCAATGGCCTCAAGGCTAGCAATCCAGGTTCGCGGTTCAACAATCGCCACAGGGAAATGTTTCTCAATAGCTGGTATAAGAGACTCCCACGCGGAGGCGGTTGGGTTAACAAGATGGAAAGCAGCACAACGAACTTCCTCTTCTGTCTTTCTCCTTGACCGAATTATATCAATGATTATTCGTGAAATGGTGTCCTACATCAAAGAGAATTAGCCATCTCATCAATAAAGCTCACATCCTTTCCCAGTCGATTTGAACGATACGAGAATTGATTATGAGTCGATTGGAACTTCTGGCAACGCACCACGGGAATCCACTCCACTGATACCGTGCCAAGGGATGATGGAAGCTGTTTTATAGTTTTGGAGGTTGCAACCAAGGATGGAAACCATTCCTGCTTGTTCCACATTCCCTTTTCTGTTGTTGGGCCTCCAATTTGACCAACACGATGGATGCTAGTGGGTACAGCACAGTGAGAAGAGGCGAAGGCACAGATACGCTCTCCCACATGCTTGGATTCTCCATAGCCTGTACGCATTACCACGTCGGCATCTTCAAATATCTCTTCAGGGATCAATGGTCCGCGCTTGGCGCTATTCCACCCTTCCACTGTGGAAATCGAGGATATGAAATGGATATGGGCACGATGAATGCTGGCGATGCTGAAGTCAACAAGTCGACGAACTCCTGCTAGGTGTGGCTGTTCAAATGCTTCGACTTGATGGTTAAAATTAACCTTCCAAGCGTTGTGAACTACCGTATCAACAGTTTGGAGAAGCTGGTCATAAACATCGTTTGCAAGTCCAAGGCGCTCATCTCCGAATTTGGCATGGAGGAATTCAACTCTAGAGGCGAAAGATCCGGTGGATGTTAAGCCCTTTTCCTGGAAACTCTGCACCTGTCTGGAAGCTGCATCTTCTGAGCGGTTTAAGCAATATACTTTAGCGACCGTGGGATCTAGAAGTAGCTCATGAAGCAGGTAGCTGCCGAGCGATCCGGTTGAGCCGGTAAGAATTACTGAATGCTTCTCAACTAGACCTGTGGTGTATTTTTCTACTAGAGCTGAAAGCTTGGCGGATCGTTCATTATCGTCCACCGGTTCCATTCTGTTCTCATCTGCCGTGTCTTTGCCCTTGATGAGGTCATACATGTAGCGTGAAAGAGCCATAATAGATGGGTGGGAGTATATTTGACGGCTAGAGAATGCCTCGTTACTCAGCTGTGGGCGATGAAAACGGACTGCGTTTTGTAAAACCTGGCCAAGTTGGAGGGACTGTAGTGAATCAAGGCCTAGTGAAAATATATCGCTATCGTCGCCAACTTCTTGGAACCCAAGCAGTTTTAACACTAATTCCTTGACGTGCGGAATAATTTCCTTCACTGTTGCATCCTTGGGGATGCCAACAATCTCGTCGTCAGACTTAGAGTACAACGCTTCGATCTTGTCACTGTAGTCTGCCGTGACTATGCGTCGTTGGACAGTCCCCTTCGGTGTGGTTTTGAAAGGTTTTAAAACAGATGACAGGCCAATTTTTGATTTCATAAGGCGGCCATGGCTCGGAGCACCCACGTTCGCTTTTTGCACCATGGGCCAGACTTCCTCGATGAAATCCTTTTCATCTCCCTGCCAATCGTTCCAATTTGGCTCACAGAGGAGAGCTGCTTGGAATCTCCCTTGTCCTATAACAAGGGCTTTTAACACCAAGGGATGCCCTTGAATAATGGTTTCCATGGTTGTTGGATTAAATTTCTCTCCGTTGCTGAGAACTATTATATCGTCTCCACGACCAATGTATTTCCATAGCCCTTGCTTCTGTGGATGAGGAGAAAAAAGATCTCCCGTGCGGTACTGCTGAATATCTGGGTATGTGTGAAAAATGCCATGGACGTGTCGATTTTCTCCTCGTGGTATGACCAGCTCGAAACTCCCATCCCCTTGGTCTTGCATATCAACCCCATAGAACGGATTCCATTCCATATACTCCCAATCTTCACGTTCTTCTGCCTTCAGCGAAGCGATCAGGCCACTTTCACTTGCGCCCAGTACACTCTGGACGTGAGTCAATTTGCAGAGTTTGTCGCCAATTACCGGTGACAGCGGTGCGCCTCCAACTCCGATGAAATGAAACTTAGCCAAAGTGTCTTGTCCTAACTTGGAGGCATAGAGCTCTTCTGCAACTGACGGAGGAAGGACCGCTGTTGTGGCTCCAGTGTCGCGGACAATTGTGGCTAACAACTCAGCCGTCATCGGCTTTTCCGGACTCAGCACAAATGGTGTTCCGCCACAAATTGCGGCAATCGACATAAGTAAGCCCATAAAATGGAAGAATGGGCTCATTGTAACAGCTAGTTTCCCGTGTTCAGCGACACTGAAAAGGCTGCTCGATCTTCCTGGTGGCGTCGCCATCTTTTGTATCATATTCTGCGCGGCGATGTATCCATGGGTAAGTGGTACTGGTTTTGGTAAACCTGCATCTTCTTAGTATCAAACCTGATATGGTCACCCATTAGCTTTGCGTTTTAAGATTTTCTAATTTACCTGTTGTTCCAGAACTATGGATGATTAGAGCAACCTCATCCTCTACGTCTCTTGGCTGCGTCCCCTTCAGGGAATACGACGGGACTTCATCATTGTTGAAAACCCCCCAAAGCTCCGGAACTGCCCACGCCTTGATGTTTGGATCTCCTTTTTGTATTTCATGAACTTGCTTCTCTCGTTCCACACTATAGACAAACTTCGAACACCCAGTTTTCTCAAGGATGTGGTGGGAGGCTTCCGACGAATTTCGGGATGAGAGCAGCAATGGCTGGTTTTGCCATTTCCATTTAGTCAGAGTGGTTTGCATTTGATTACAAGAGTCCTGAGTAGAAGCTTACAATGTGTCCAATCTTCATACAGGCAAGGATAAAGGCAATGTAGCGTATGTCGTTCGATCCAAGATATGCCAATGTCTCTCGGTTTGACCCTGGGGAAACGTTTTCTTCAATCCAGTTGGCCAGATAATCCACCGCGCCCGACAGGTCCTTCATTGTAACCTTGCGCCATCCCTGCGAGATGTCGGAAGAAATAGAGTGGATGCAAAACAACTGATTTGGATTGTTTTCCTTGAGATAGTCAACCTCAGCTGCCAGAGTCCCTGATCCGAACTTTATAGATCCCATCTTGATGTTTAAAGAGAAGTCTTGTTTTCTCGACTTTTCTTTCCTTTATTCGTCTAAGGCAAAGCCTAAAAACTTTCAGCATTCCAACTTCAGTTTACAGCTTGAGTCCAGAGTGAGTCCAGGGAGAGCCTTGATTGATATATATCCCTACATCATGCATTGAGAAAGCTCATCCATGCAACCATCGCCAGCAGCAAGCCACGACCACAGTTCATCTGACCAAATCTGGTAGATCTCGTCGATCCGCCAGCATGAAGTTGGGAGATTGAATTGCATTTAACTGGTCAAACTTTTTCCATGTGGCGCAATTGTATTTTGAGGTTGGACGATTCCTGCAGCTCATTTATCAGCCGTCCCAACTATGAATACATAACATGGCTAGATCCGTGGCATCCATTTAGGCCAGTTTACAATTCTCCATAATTGTTGAGCAAACATTCCACGCATACGCAGTGCTCGGCATATTTGGAAAGAGGGCAGAAAGATGCGAGTTTAGTAGAATTGTGCTTACTCTGGCCTCGGATCAACAAGGCCTCTTTTTGAGGTTGTTTTCTTTTTGTCCCCCTTTCATGCAGCACAATAGCAGAAAAGGCTTTCCTGCACCGGATCCACTCTGCACTTCATCCTCGTACTTGTTGACTTGATTAAACAGCGTCTGAGGAAACATAACCCTGAGGAAATTTGTCATAGCTTTTGTGCCTGGTGGGTCAAAGGCAACTCTAACACATTAAAAAGGAAGCAAGAAATGCCCACTTCTGCACGCAGTCCCCTTGCTCTTACAGCCGCGCGGCAGTTGCACAAATGTTTCTGTGATTTCATACTTCCGCTTCTGCACATTGCTGCACAATGTTGAAGTTGTTATTTGTTAAGTCAAGGGTAATCAATGTATTCTCATGCTTATTTAATATAATCTACAATTTATTCATTCACACCATCTACTTGCACACCTCTCCACTTTTAATATTATAAACAAAACTTAGAATAATTATCAAAAAAAATCAGGTATTTACATCAGAATTATTTCTAGCATGCTGAGAGCGTGTACAAATAGCATGTTTCATAGTATCACATTTACTACATTTTAATTCTAGTTATTTTTGTAAATACCTATTGAACTACTCGATGTAATGGGCTAACGCCCGTTTGATAACTAGTTAACCCTTTCGTAACCAAAAATGCTTACGCCCAAATTATCCTTTTTCCGCTGTGACTCGTACAAAGCTCTTCGCTGGCCTTCATCTTTCATTCTCCTTTCTCTTTACCTTTCTCCTTCTAACGAATTCGTCTTTTTGTTTTAAGGAAATGCTAGGGCCGTATTCGGTAGCACGCCCGTTACACTACGAGCTTTTAAATTTTATTTATAAATTAAATATATATATATATATTTTAATTAGCTTAATTTATATTTATTATTTATTTATTTATTTATTTATATAAAAGATAAAGTATACTTATTTTATATTAAAATATTCATTATTTAAACATTTTGTAAGTTTTCAAAATTTAACTAATAGAGCAAATAAAATTGATTTATAAACTTCAAAACTAAAAGATAAATTTCCTACTCTTATCTTAAACTGCATTTTAACCTTATTTTAAAACCACTTTATAATTTATATAAACGTCGTTAAGAATTCTTTTTATTAAAATTTGACATATTAAACAATTTGACATTTTAATTTTTATTTTACTTATTTAGTTAACTGTTTAATCTATTAGCTATGTCTCTGTATTCGGACCGGATTCCATGAGAATATTTAATCTGCTAAAGAGGGAATTTTGTGCTGGTTATGAGTTTCCTCTCCAGTTTGCTATCCTCAGGTAGCTTCTGATGGCATCGCGTTTCGTATTCCTCCTCTGTGCATTGACCTCCGGAGCCTGGCCATTCCAACACGGCTTGCCATGTTGTAAGACCTTCCGTTGGTTCCGAATCGCCATCTACCCTCCACCACCAGCAACGCCAGACTTGACAACTGGTCTTAAATAATAGTCATCGTGTGTTAAAAGTTTACCATATGAGAATTTTTGGTTCGTACCAAGGTCTCACTTGGCTGTTGTAAATAGTGGACGCTGCTGGAGGGCCGAGTCAGAAAGACGAATGTCAAGCTGAAAAAAATGATCACAATACCATTTCCATTTAACGGCTGACCCGGAGTGTACTGACGGAGAAGATCAGTGCAAATAGGCATTGTCATGAATGTATCATTTTTAAGTTTGGTCCGGAGAACACATACCTCACGAACATGAAATCTAGATCACGATGAGGCTGACACTTAAACTTCGAGGATTTCCCCCACAGCGGCTCTGCAGTTGCGATATGAATATCGCAAACAGCTGGTTGGTTAACGTTCCGTTTGTTCACCTACTGACTGGCGGTGATGTTCCCTACCTCACCATTAACCGTTTTCATGGAGCCACTTCCATTTGTCAGGCTGTCGTAGCTTGGGTTAAATACCAACCTCACAGGTTTGAAATCCAGCCGGAAAGATATCATTCTATCATCCTTGTAAGATAGCTGAATTAAATAATAACGATAATCCACCTTAATCGTTAATCCAAACCTAGAGATTTCTTTAATTGAAAAACGATTTTCCTGTATCCCTCAGTCAATCAGGGAGTGGCAGTGGGATCACCTTGCTCTGCGGTCAGGTGGAATTGGCAGCAAGCGGAACTGCACAAGCCCAAGCGGTAGAAATCATTACCAGGATCTTCACCCAACATAGTGTCAAGCCTCTCCTCTGGAGGGTCAATTTCTGCTGATACTTGTTCTATCGCAGATGCAGTAAGCGTATCATCAGTCTTGTCCAGGCATACAAGTCCACAGACATTGGCCTGGAGGACCTCGTTCTTCGAGTCGATAGAGTCTGGCTAGAGACCGAAATAAACGCCATCGTTAACACGGGTTCGTCAAGTCACCTGCGCCTACTCGCCCAGACCAGCCAGACGGTAATGTTAGACCGCACAGCCTACCCAGAAGACATCGATCCCAACATCATCTTTAGCACAGTGCGGGAAATTGCACAAAACTCCTCTCCAATCTCGGACCCCTTCTCCCTCGGCTTCCTAAAATGCCTAGGGGTCCTCCTGTACACAGGAAAGCCAATTCCAATACGTCCTCTCACTCCCACGACAAGGTGGCCCCCAAACCCTCCGTTCCCTCCTTCTCCTCCTCCACCACCACCACCACCACCAACACCACCATCACCATGAAGCCACCATCACCTCCCAATTCCTCAACGCAAAATTGCAAATCAGCAAATCCCTCGCCCACGCCGTCCCATCCCTCCACGCCGCAAACTTTGTGCACAAAAACATCAGTGCGGAAACAATCCTCTTCCTCCCCGACCCCACAACCGGAGAGCCCAGCGATCTCTACCTCGTCGGCTTCGAGCAACTGCGTCCATCACCAGGCCGCCCATCATTCTGCGCAGATATGGTCTCTCTCACCGGAATCTCTACAGACACCCGAGCCACCAGGGGTCAGGGCCAGGGCCTGTGGCCGCAGGAATAGCACAAGATGCAGCATGACATATACAGTCTTGGTGCATGTCTGCTGGAAATCAGGTTGTGCACGTCATTTGCCGTGCTGCGTGGTGGAGAAGGAGAAGAAGGTTGGGGGGGTGTTGGGTTGAGGGGGGGGGGGTTGAGAGAATGGCGGTGGATCATCCTGAGCAGCAACTATTTGCCCAATGCTGCGCTGGATATTTTGGGGGGGGAGCTGGAGATGAAAAATAAAATGCTGGCAGCGCTGGGGATTAAGGAGAAGTTGGTGAATGGGGATAGCATGGCACAGTTACCGAGTCTGATGGGGCGCACGTATACAGGGGTTGTGCTGGCATGTTTGACGTGTCTTGATGCCGGGGTGGGGAATATGTTTGACGATGGGCAGGAGATGTATGATGAAAATGGGATAGTGGTTGGTGTTAGGTTTACTGAGAAGATTCTTGAAAGACTGGAAGGTTAATATAGGCTTTGACTTGTAGCAGATGTTTAGTGTAATGTTGTAGTTTATATACCATGGATATTTGAGCGCGGTTACAACCACAAAATAAAAGGTTCAAGGGATAGTTCGATGTCCATCCGAAGGTCACGTGTGCCAAATGGAGGATATGAATTCAATCTGTGTTGGACGTCTCAAGTGGTTGTATTTGGTAGCCTATCTCTGGGATGCTCTATACTACTGTGCGGTGTGCTAGTCCATAATAGGAAGCCTAGGCTCCAACACAATCAGATGATGTCATTTAACTTCCCGTTGACTTGAAAAGAAGTTCTCTTTTAAGAGATAAAAAGGGGGCTACATAGGGAGGACACCGATGAACATATGTAGTATCACAGCAGAAATATCAAACCAACCCCTTAATCGGAAAGAAACAGCAAATAAGTTTTATTTCACATAATATATTATAATCAGATAGATACCAGACCTTAAGGAGCCAGGAAAAGAGAGCAGAGAGCAGAGAGCATAAAAAAACTAAAAAAATCATACAATAATCAGACACCTCCGACAATACATATATTCTATCCATTCAGGTCATTCCCGCTCCGCCCGCTCTCCCACATTCAATTCCATTTCCATTTGCAACTCGCAATTCCACGAAAGGATATGAAAAGGGAAAAGGAAAAGGAGAAAAAAAAAAAAAAAAATCCAGTTATCTCATTACATTGCATCCTGTTCATCCCATTTATAACATCCAGCCAGATAGTAGTCCATTCACCATTGATACCTAACCCTCCTCCCAAGAACCAGAAGTGTAACCCTCCCAAATAAAATAAATTCAAAAAAAGAAGCAAAAGAGAAGTTACCTCAGTAATATAGCATATCAAGAAGCCCATCAAAAAAAATCCTACCCAGCATATCCTGAAAAGCAAACCGCAATATATAAAATTTTACGCAAAAGAAATGTATAAAAATAAAAGATAAGATGGAAATAGGAATAGAGATTAAAAAAAAATAAAAAAAAAAAAATAAAAAAAAAACCCTCACAAATAAATCATACTTCTTGTAGCACGCACCAGCCTCCACATAAGAACCACAAATAAATCTACCGCCTTCTATCTCTCTCTCTCCCTCTCCCTCTCCCTCTCCCTCTCCCTCTCAGCCGCAAGATTATGCTTCCCCACCGTATCCCTAATAGCCTGCGCAAGCGGATCTGTCGAATCCGCATCATCCCCATCTCCATCCCCTTCCGTCTCCACATCCATACCAGTTCGACTATGAGGCGATACACGAGAATGGGAATGGGAATGCGCATGTCCATGCACAGGTATATTAGCAGACCCAGACACGGCCAGAGGCAAAGCGGCACCCTCCTTCGCCACCTCAGCTAACCCGGGGAGCGTATGATCACTCATTGAGTGCGAGGGCGGGGAGTGCTTGACCGCATGCTGCGGTTCAGCTGCGCGCTGGCGACTACTTGCGCTGCTATTATTATTGGACATCGAATCTGTAATACTAGTAGTACCAATGCCAACACCGGGTATAGTAGTCGTCGGCGTCCCCGTGGCCCCCAGACTCCTATCAGCATCCGTCTCTGTCACCATTGGCCCTTCACGCGCACTGCTACCGCTCCCCACACTCCTATTGCTGTTACGTGGGTACGTATTCCGAAGTTCCTCAAGCTTAACATCCTTCCACGAGCACTTGGCATGTTTCTTCGTACAGCCCATACACGCCGTGAGATTTTTATGACAATCCATCTGTAGGCGCCGACAGCGGTCACAGGGAGGCAAGATGCGTTCACCCCGTTGTAGCCCCTCCATGCGACTAACCATTTCAATCTTGTAGGGTCCGCCATCATCCCGCTCGTAGTGGTTCGACGACTTGGGTTGAGGAAGGAGGGATGAGGGAGTACTGGGGATGGGGACGGGGGCGCCTGCGTAGCCGCTGCTGCTATACTCGCCCGGGTCTGAGGCGCGGGGACGTGAACGTGACGTTTGGCGGGCAGGAGGGGGGCATTCTGTCGTCTTCGTTGTTGCTTCTTCCTCATCCGAAAAGCCGCGGGCGTGACGATCGGCAGTTGTGAAGAACTTTTTCATCAATTCGGCTCGCGTAGCTGGGGAGGCACCTTTGATTGAAGTGCCGTTGATGATTGTGATGTTGTCCGTACTGGAATGAGGGAACATAAACTGGGCTGCGGATAGGACACTGGGATCATCCTGGGGGGGGTCGTATCGGGAATTAACAGCGACAAAACCTGGGGGGGAGTGAGGATGCGAATGGCCGTTGCTAGTATGGGTGTTGGTACCCATTACATTGCCATTGGATTCTCGGAATGGACTAATGGATCTTTGTTGTTGGGCACTGAGGGATAGATCGTTCTCTCTTCTAGTAACGATTGCAGTCTTGCGGTTCTTGAATCTGTGGTTTAATTGCCTAGCACGCGCTGACACTATGATCATCACAATAGGTTAGTCCCTGGCTACATAACAGTGTAAAAATAAAAATAAAAAACATTAAAAAAAAAAAAAGAAAACATATATTATATATCTTATTACCTTGATCAGCCAGATTGATGATCTGGGACAAATTCTTTTCTAATATTTCTAATGCGCCCAGCTCCTTCTCTTCATCTTCAACTATGGGCTGAGGAGGAATAATCTTCTGAGGGATACCGGACTTGATCAGGATATAATCTTCTTCTGAAATTTCCACGCGACTCTGCTTGGTGTAGATCTGACAGACGGGGACTCCGTTACGCGTTTTTTCGAGGGTAAATTGTTCAGGTTTGTTTTTTGCGAATTCGACCACATCAAGCCAGGAGACTGTTGTTCCTTCCTTTCCATGCGACTTGAGCACCTTGGGAGGACCGTCAAATAGCCGTTCGAAGCGGGTGACGAGGATGGGCCCAAGGGGACATGCGCCTAGATTGCCTGCGATGCTTTCGTGTCGCTGGAGAACCCCGTCGTAGTCGTTCATAAGACGGAGGATGGAAGGGAGGGTGTCATCTGGGGAGACGAGGGGGATATTTTGTGGGTACTGACGGGCGAGATAATTTATTTGCAGGTGGTTTGACTGTGTTTTGGGAACTTTGGAGGCGGTGGTATGTTGGTGGTCACCGGAAGGGGATCTGGCGCGTTTGTTGCCCGACTCGGGGGGCATGGGTCTCGAGTCCATTGCGACAAAGATGTCGACGGTGGAACCAAGATGGTAAAAATACAAGACACTATACTATTCAAAATGGAAAATGTGATATGGAATAGAAAAAGAGGGATATATTGGGAAAGGGGGTTAGGTGGAAATAAGAGGATAAGTTAGGGCGTGCCGCTCAAATCAGAATGACGGGAACAGATGGTAATAAATAAAGGGGAGGGAGCAGCCTGAGGAGGTAGGAACAGAGTTAACCAGACAAGACGGGCTCCAGAGAACAAGATATATGGCACAGTCGCAAGGAGGAAGAGAAGAATGGATTGAGCGTTTAAGGATACAGTGGATGGAAAATATATATGGGCGGGAGAAAGTGATACAAAGTCAATAGGACTACAGCGGTGTTCGACGAACCCAGCAGACCTTAGAGAGACAAGAGGACGGCTATTCGAAAGTAGTAGGAGAGGAAGAGGAAGAAACGAGAGCCAGGTCGTGTCAAGTCAAGAGAATGGGTTGAAGATGTCATGGATGTCGTTAATATCGAAAGTTGAGTATGAGGCTGAGTCGGATGGAGAGAAAGTAAAGAGGAAAAGAGAGAAAGAGGAAGAAAGAAAGAAGAGGGAAGGAGCGAAGGAGGGAACGGGAGAGGCCAGTGGAAAGAAAGTGGAAAGTGGAAGGGCCCGGAGGAATGCGGTGGGCGGTGGGAAAAGCGTTGATTGGGCGGTGGAAACAAGACGGGAAAACAGAGGGGAAACGGGGAACAGGAAATTTTAATAGGAGAGGGAGAGGCGATGTTAAGGAGA